ACGCTTCAGCCGGCAAGGCGACCGTCAGCATCGACAGAAGCAACAGACGGGCCATGTTCTGAGAGTCTGAGAATCGGCTTTCCTAACGGCAAGAGGGCAGTGCGGCCTTTGACTTCGAGCCATGAAAATGCGAACACGAACATGCTGCTAGTCATGAGTCACCACCTCGCCCACCGTAGAGAAGCAGCCGTGCTTTGGTTCTTGTCCGGATGGCCTTACAGTATGAGAGCACTATCACCACTCTCATATGACGAGGATAACTCAACCATATTCACGGTTACTATGAGGACCACCCTGATCATGACCACTAGACCATCCTCCCAATGAGCATGACGATCGGAGCAACTCATCCTAATCGTCTTCATGCAATGTAAGTGAAGAGGAGTCGTGCAAGGACTTGCTGTAATCATGTGCAGGGTGCGTCGGGCGTTTCCCAAATAATGGCGCCCATGATGCCAAGCAAGTACCCTTCCCCCCGTCCAAGAAAAAGGGGACCCTCATGTTCAAACCGAATGCCCAAGACCCTAGGCCCCACACCCAACAACCCTACCGTAACCGCATGCCTGCAAAGGCGACAGCAACCTCCACTCCATGAACAGCGTGGCCGGTTCGTCTCGCTGAAGGGTCGAAGGAGCTCACCTGCAGATCAGCGCTTCAAGGGTGATGTCTGCACCCAACATTAAACTATGGTCTAGTGGGTTTGGGGCGCAACTTGCTTTTCCAACAAGCTGGCCAAGGTTGTCACGAAACTTGATCTAAGTCATCTATGAAGGCAGGACGTATATGTCACTACCTCAAACCCTTAAGCCTAAACTCTCAAACCTCAACCCAAGATGAAGCCTCAGTCTCTGCACCGCTTCAACGAAATCCCGGCCTCCATGAAGTGCCGGACAGAGCAGCCATCTGCCGTAGCCGCCGTAGCCACAGCCGTATCCTGAGTTGCACTTCGGATCCCTTTCGAGTTCTTTCATGGTCTCGGTTTCGCGGGTGAACTTTTTCTCGCAAGTTTACGGGGTTCCGGCATCTGGGTTTGCGGAGCGGCTTTGGTGCTTGGAGGGTCTAGAGTTGTCTACAGTCTAGGGTGTATGGCTTTGGATTTGGAGGAGTTTGTGGTCTCGGGTACCTTGGATACTTTGAACTGCATGCAGCTGAGACCTGTGGTGACGACCCGCCTCCCTTCCTCTTTCGCCGCGCAGCGGGTACACTTAGTAGGGTTTCGGGTGAACTGTAAGCCCCTCACCCATAATACCCAGCTCAACAACCAAGACTCGAAAACGTCTCGCCGCGTGCTCACCGGCCACGTGCCGGCCTGAGCAAGGAGTGGAAGCGGGTTTTCATGTGTAGGGCTTAGAGCGTCAAGACTTGGCACCAGCCGATCTGTGAATGACACTCCATATTCTTCGACCACTGTGCTCCGATCCCTCTCGTCGAGTGAACCTTTACCATCACGTCGAACGTGGGAGTCGACTGTACAAGGATGCCCT